GAACATCTTTTCGCTGTGTGGGAATTTGACTGGACATTTGCCAGTATGTGACTGGTTCCATGTCATAATTACATTTATAAAACAACGCACAAACTCTGTGATGACAGGCTGTCACGATGAGGTGTGGGACCCACCTCTTAACTCAGATACTAACCAACATCATTACCCAATTGGCACATGTAGAATCCAGCACAGGGTGATTGATGTGTTGATGGACACAAAGTTACTGTGTAGGATGATGTAAGTTCCTTGGCCACTGGCATTGTTGTGGAAAGCAGCAAATCCCTGATTGAAGATGCCTGTTGAATGCGAAGACAAGCATATCAACCTAGAAAAGCTTGACATGATCTTGAGAGGCATCAACATGACACTGCAATGAAGAGCAACTGTGGTTCACTCAACATATGTGCATCGATGGGTTTCTGATACATTGTCTGGAAAGTCACCAGTGTGCACGAAGACAGCGACAGAAATGTTAATAAGCCATCAGCTTAGCATAACCAAGGAAATCATGGAGCAATACAAATTGACTATTGACATAGAGCTCATCAGATCTCATGCAAACCGAGCCAATCAGCTTACCAATGGCTGGGTGCAGTTTGAAAAGAAAAGGAACCAGTTTTCGATGCATCGATAGAAGAGCAGGAATCAACCCACATTCAAGCCATCCATCAATGTAGTAGGCATTCTGGTTTGAAGCGCACCTTGTATTTTGTAAGACAGATCCACCCTGAGGTCACGAAGGCAGCAGTTCATGTGGTGATTGGAGAGTGCAAAGTGTGTCAATTCATTGACCCAGAGCCAGTGCACTGGAAAGCTGGACAGTTGGATGTGTGTGAGAATTGGGCAGGGTAGGGATGGACATAACACATTATAAAGGCTGGCATTACCTGACTTTGACAGACTGTGGCCCTAGTTGGTTTTCCAGCTGGCGACTGTTACCACATCAGAACACTGCCAGCATCATCCAACAGCTGGAGTCGCTATTCTGCAAGAGAGGGCTACCTGCTGAGCTGCTCATCGACAATGCTGCAGCATTCTGTGGAGAGGCATTCGCAAAGTTTGCAGAGAACTGGGGCATGTGACTAAGATTCTGGTAAGCCTGTCAACCATCAGAAAATGGCATTGGGAGAGATGCCATCGCTTCATCAAGCGTATTGCTGCTCGGTCAGAATGTTCCATTATAGAGGAGTTATATTGGTTTAACATGATGCCAAAAGATGATGCAACAGCTTTGTCAGCACCAGCTAACTCTATATATACAACTACCAAGCCCGCACAGATCCTGGGATCTACAGAGTAGGAGATGCATTATGGATAAAAACCCCACATGGTTGATGTTTGATGTAATTCAAAAAAGGAACAGTGACAGGGGTCTATAGACCACATTCAGTTCTCATTAATGGAATGCAATGCCATATCAGAGATCTTCGCCTGCATCAGAAATCTTCGTCAAAAGATGACAGCACTGATAAGTCATCTGCGAACAACTCAAATTCGCCACTGTTTTCAGTGCATGGCTAGACTATTCATCTATGGAACCAGAGGAAACAGATGCTGAAGACAACAATGATGATGCAAATAACGAGAGACCAAGTGGGCACAATGGAGAAGAGATGGGCGGATCCCGTTCACCTTTACGCAGAAGCACTCGATGAAGACAACTGCTATCTTCATGTCATTTATGTGATTGGAGATCAAGAAGGTGTGTAGATGAGAAGATGACTTACCTCGTGTGGAAAAACAAGCACGTATATGCCTGGTGTGCAAAATGAGTGAAGGAAAAGAAAAAGAAATATGGCCACCCTAACACCTTAATTTAAGAAAGACAGTCTCAGAGCTAGGAGAAATTGTGAGAGTGGTTGGGCATATGCAAATTTTTTGTGAGATCAGCTTGGCATAAAAACACCACATGAGAGAGAAAAAGCAACTAGACACTCATGAACATAGTACTGCATACACAGAGAGACTTTGTCAGTTGGGAAAGTGATTACTTGGGTCAGTTTCACACAGATTAATTGCTCTATCCAATCTGTTACAGATTATGAAAAATTCCACTAATTTCAGCAAATTGCTACTTCCTAAAATACATCCAAATGGTTCTGAAAAATATGCAAATTGTCTCATAAAACAATGTTGTGCCTCTTACATTTTCTTCACAAACCAGATATTGACTGTTCGACGACACAAAGCAGACTGTGTAAATACGTTTAGTGCGCATTAACTCCTTGCATACATTTGCTTTAACCAAAATAAAATGAACAATATAATATGACCAGTGAAAGACTAGATAGCTCCAAAAACCAAAACCTTAATTTGGAGCCGATTGATGACTATATATTCTCTAATTCAAACAAAACCCAAACAGACCAGCATTTGATGTCACCACCGGCATGCTGAGTAAGAGACATGATACACACTAACATTTGAAGTCAACACCAACATGATGAGAGAGAAACACCATTGACAACAGCCAGCACTGATTTCACTTCTAATTTCATCATTCTCTCCTCCATTGAGCAATAACAACTGACAGAACTTACTCGCTTTGTATATATGTAAATAAATTATACATTTATTTACCCATATTAAAAAGTTTCAAATTATATAATGTAAATATGCAAAAAATATTATTAGACAATCTATAAATAAAAATTAATGTGGGTTACTGTAAAGGCCTGGCCCACTTCACAAAATTTGACAAATGTTTGGGAAGAGCTTATTGGTACCCCTTCACATGTGTCTACGCCTCAAGTAACAATGAAAGCTGAACAATAAAAGATTTAGGATTTGGCAATCTTTAACCTTTGTGCCAGCTGTAATAAAACACTGTGTCAAAAGTTTTTCTCTTGACACATACTATTTTAACTACTTTCACTCCCTCAGCAATGCTTTTGTTTTAAAAAGCGATGATTAGAATCTTAATAAAGCCAAAAATATGACAGTGAAGTTATACATTTTCTTTGTTCTTTGAGAATTTACAACAAAAATATTAAACACTATTTGTCTATATTTCCGAGATGAGGTACTATGTACATTATTTGGACTATTGTCCTCATCTTTGTCGCCTTATTTATTACAACGTTTCAGCTGTTGCACGCTCTGGCCTTCTTCAGGTGGTTGGAATGTCGAACTGAACCCTTTATTTCACTCACTGGGATAGACTGTTCTAGTTCCATGTGCCATGTTTTGATGGATGTCAGTTATTAGTTATCTCCTGTTAATTTCCCTCTGAAAGTTCTCCACTGCCTTAACTGGGTATTGACCCATTGACCGGAAAGTCTCCTTCATATGTCTGAAACTCTGCCCACTTCGTGGAAATAATCAACAATGCTCCCATCCTATCCAACCAGATGGTGAGCTTGGATGTAGTGAATTTGTTCACCAAGGTACCCATGGAGGAGGCACTCTCAGTAGTCAGAGACAGATTGGTCTCTGACTCTTCCCTAGAAGAATGGACCAGTATTCCAATAAATAATCTGATGGAGATGTTGACTTTCTGTACACAAACAATACACTTCAGAATGGGATCACACATATATCGACAGGATGAGGGCTTAGCAATGGGCTTGCCATTATCACCAACAATGGTGAATATATACATGGAATACTTTGAGGAAATGGCATTAGAATCTATATCTCTAAAGCCAACTATATGGTTAAGGTACATAGATGCTATCCCGTGCAGCTGCAGAAAGGAATATAAAGGAGAGACAGACCGCCCCCTCAAGGTAAGGCTTCAAGAACACCAGAAAGCTGTAACACGAGGGGAAGTGGAAAAAATCAGGCGTGGCTGACCACATATGGAGAGAGAAGGGAGATCACCGCCCTCTGTGGGATCATGTTGAGATCATAGACAAAGAACACCATTGGAAAATTCGTAAACTTAAGGAATCAGCACATATGCTAGGCCACAAAAATCTCCTGAGCCGACCAAGCATAGAAATAAATACAATATGGGAACCAGTAATAAGGAGTGCCAGAGAAAAGCAATGATAACAACAAAGTTGCAATATGAGCTCTGGTAAAAACAGCAAAAAATTGCAATATGAGCACTGGTAAAAATGGTTGAAGACATTAGGTTTATAATACCCAGAAATTCAGGACACATGGCACAGTGGATAAAGGCATTGGTTAGATCCAGTGACAGGACCCAAAGAATGCGAGTTCAGTACCCGGTTAAGGCAGTGGAGAACTTTCAGAGGGAAATTAACAGGAGATAACTGATAACTGACATCCATCAAAACATGGCACATGGAACTAGAACAGTCTACCCCAGTGAGCGAAATAAAGGGTTCAGTTTGACATTCCAACCACCGGAGCATGCAATGGCCGAAACGTTGTAATAAATATGGCGACCAAGATGAGGCCAATAGTCTGAATAATGTAAACACTATTTATTAGCTTGTTTCTTTACCAGAATAATTTGATATTTACAACATTCTAAAAATGCAACTAATACAATGCAATGCAATCATTTACAAATTTATAAAGAAATGAATATGAAAATAAGTTTTTATTTATAAATTTATAAAAAATATTTGAAGAAAATTTAAACAAACACATAACAAGTAAATGTAATTATAAATTTTTGCAAAAATAGCATTTTCCAGGCATTTCTTTCATACAACAATTTATTGATATATTTATAAAATTATGAATAAAAATCATGTTTTCATAGTTATTTATAAAATGGTAAATAATAAATAATGCATTGTAAATGGTTTATATATTTTGATAATTTTTTAATTTAAAAAAAATTTTGAATAAAAAGATTTTTTTACAGTTATTTCTTTATAAAATGGTAAATAATAAACATTGCATTGTGCTTGGTTCACATAGTTTTATAACCTTGGAAATAAACATTGTAAAGGGTGTGAGAGTAGTACAAAATAATAGTGGTGTCATGGGGAAAAAAAAACATCCTTTTGACACACCATTTTTTTGTGGGCATGAAAGTTAAAGTTTGCTGAGGCTTTTATAAAAGTAAAAATACTTACTCAAGAGGAAAATTATGCCCAAAAGGTTGAGTATCTGAATCAGACGTCTGAAAATATCCAAATTCTGTACATGTTTGGTATAACCACTGTCGACCTAAAGAAAGAGAGGAACCCATTACAGATTTTTTTTTTTTCAAAGATAGTGTTGTAACCTAGGGAAGGTTACTGAATAGGATAATTACATGAAAGTTGGTAATGAACGATAATACTTAGGACATGAACAACACATATAAGATTCACCAGTGGCGCATAGAAGTAGTCAATTACTAGAAGTGAGTCAAGTGAATTTCACAATGAATCTCCAACTTCAGACCAACATACAGTATTTACTACTGTATTTATGTGAATGGGGACATGCCCATTATCGTCCATAGGTATGCTATAACAGATAGCATTAGGTCATTTGTCTGTAAAAATATAATTGAAACTAAAGAATATTAATTTAATTTTTTTTTTATAATAATAATGATAAATTCTAAAACTTATCCAAATCTGGAGCCATCACACTCCCATTAGAGGACCCCCCACCTGGCCTTAAATGACCAGGGTTATAGTATCCGGTCTGTCCTGCTATTTACCCATAGCTGGGAGTGGGGAAGAGATGGATTCATACCTTTCTTAAGGGTATTTGCATGTAAGTGAATGTAATGAACACAACAGAAATTCAAACTCAGCTCTCAAGTTCCTCAAACCAAGCTGCTATTCATTACTCCTAAAAAATTAATTTATTATATATATATATATATATATATATATATATATTTATTAATGGAATTACTTACCACCCTCTGCAGAACTGGCATTCCAACTAGTATTCTTTAAATCTTTAATCATCTTATCATATTTGAAATCTAAACACTTTTGATGGTAAGTGTTTAGTAGCATTTGATTAATTTTGGCATATCTTTCAATTGGGCTGTGATGTGTATCATGCACCATAATATTGCAAAGTGTATCAATAGTTATATTGGTGCCAACTGCTCCCTGAGAGGAAAAGAAAAAAAATATATATTAAAAAAAAATTTATGGACAAATGGTCAGGTAACGTAGGAAATTATAAAGAGTGTCACAAAACACATAGTCACCATAATCAGAAACTTGAAATAAATACCAAGCTGAAAATTAACTCACCTCAAATTTGCGATTGTCTTTGTTATATTGTACAACACCTTCAAAATTTCCAGAGAGAGCAGAGAAGAGGCTTGCCATATCTAGACGATTTGTTATATCTGGATAATCACATAGGCTGTAACATTTGAAGAAAATATTTTCACAAACATTCCTTTAGTGTAACAGCAAAACAATATAGCACATACAGTAACTGCCACTATATATAAGGTAAGAGATGGGCAAGATGAGAACGAGGTAAGCAGATGTGCGAGATGAGAACGGGGTAAGGAGATGCGCGAGATGAGAATGGGGTAAGGAGATAGATAAGAATAATATTAAAAAAAAAACAAAAAAAACAGCAAAATATTTACAATTTCTCATCTCAAAAATTCAAACAAAAATTGTTATAAATTAATTTTTAATTCACAAATAACATTTTAAATTAAGAATGATTAAACATTAAACATGAATATTAATAGATTCTTTTAACCAGCCATTATTTCTTATTACAATAAATGATATATTTAGTCTGTACACATGTTTGAGTAGACATCCCAGTTGTTTTTTTTTTTTGTTTTCTTTTTTTAAAAACAATGAAATTAATAGCATAGAGTTCAAGAGTCTCATTAAAGAAAATATGTCTCCTAACAAGAAACAAACCTGTATTCTCTTTTTAATCTGGGAAACCACTTTCATGCCAATTATGCCTTACCATTGAGACACAAGAAGCAAAGTACAACTCAAATACTCTATTTATAAATGCACATTTTTTGTTGAGACCGTTCAAAGTCTGTTAACTTTATTTTCATACATGAAAAAAAGTAATTTTTAAGCAATGATTTTTTTTTTCTATTCTGGCATTATCTCTTATTACTATTACTTCTGTCAGGAAGGGTATTTTCTTTAATAAGACTTTCAATCCCTAGGCTGGTAAAAATTTCACTGTTCAAAAAATATAAAAACAAAAATAAAAACAGGAACGTCTACTCAAAACATGTAAATGTAACTTTTTATAGTAATAAAACACTAATATTAAAAATGCTAAACAAATAATTCTAAAAAGAAAAACTTACCTAAACATCTTCTGAAGTTTCTTTCTACCAAGGTCTGTTTTTAACAATTCCGTCACTGTTAAAGTAGCTTCACTAACTTTCTTGCTACACTGAGGGCCTCCCACCATGTCCAAAGCAGACTTGACTACATTCAGATAGTCTGAAAAATAAATTTCCTTTAGAGTCTTGGATAAGAAAGATAACAAATGCAGAGGGTCCATACTAAATTCTAAAATACTGATCACAACTAATATTATCTAATTAATATAATTATTATATTAATTATTATATTAAAATTATCTTGAATTTTTATTAGATGCTTGTCAATCATTATTCATTTTTGACTAAGATTTCTTTCATCATCATTTCACTGGTTTTAACTCTAGTGGTAGTATTAATAGTAATATTATCTTGAATATTATCACAAATTTTTATAATATAAAGTCTTGTCAACCATTACTCATTTTTCACTAGGATTTCTTTCATAATTTTACTTGCTTCATATATACTAGTAGTATTAGTAGTGATAATCTTATCTTAAATTTTTATTAGATGAAACTGTGTCAACCATTTTACATTTTTTATACTTTTATTTCTTTCATCCTAGTTTTTCTTGCTTTTTATTACAACTATTCAATTAGCGTACAGCCATCAGTCAATTGTCCAAATCAGAAATGAAGAACAAGATTTTGGCAAGACTTGAACTTACATTGCTTTGCCTAAAGATACACATTTTACTTTAGCTAGCCCCTCCTCTACTTCAGTTTGAGTAGACTCCGGTGGAGTATAGGACCACAGCCTCACCATGGTATTGTTGCTGTTTTCATAGAATGTAGGTTTTTACAGAGTGGAGTTGCCAGCTGATCCATTTTGAATTTGAAATTGTCCTTCCCCTAGACTGGTTGTGAAGCAAAGCTAGAGATCCCAGTCTGTTTTGCTATTTAACCTATAGCTGGGGGCAGAATAGATGAATTTATAACTTACAAAAGGGTATTTCAATGAAAGTGAATGCAATGACCTCAACTGGGATTTGAACCAACAGAACAATCCCACTTTCCATTGCTGATAACTGCTACACTACATGCATATCCACAATATCCATAGCAAGCAGAAGATCAAATTTAACTCGTGTTTTATTTCTCCTTGACCACTCACTATTTTTGATCTTACTGCTTTTATTATATATATATATATATATATATATATATATATATATAGAGAGAGAGAGAATTAGTAGTAATGTTATGATGAGATTTTGTTTTGATTTTCCATGAAAGACGTGAGTGTGAATTTCACCAAAAGATTATTTATTTTTCTTCCTAATCCATTGTTACTGATGGCCATAGATTGAATCTGAGTAGTTACACTGAAAAGCAATTAAGATAAAAAAAATATCAGTGGAATTTAATCATTGCTAATAGGTAATTAGGAGACAACAATAATCTGAATTTAAACTGTAATTATCAACAACAAACATTAAAAATTTATTAAAACTTATTTAAGACATCAGGTGTAATACACCTGATGAAGACCAGCAGGCACAACAGATGAAACGTGATAACGACAATAGTTCAAATATAAATAGTATAAATAATGATAACTCTTCATCCCAGAAATTCAGATATAAACCACTTAGTGATTTTAAGAAAAAATTGGAATGAGTTTTTTTTTTTTAATTGACCACCGCAATAATGTTTAGAATACAACTATTTTTTTAATGTTGATTATCCAAATACTGATTATCTGAAATTTGGATAATTCAAGCAAAATTTCATGGTTTCTGTAAATATTCAATTTTATGACGTTTCAGTATAAATCAGTTGTAATTGATGGAGGAACAGTAATAAATCAATAAATTTATTCCTTTTCTTATGAAGAGTAAAGCAGTTGATTGGCTTGATCAGTCACTTTAAATAGTGTTTAACGCATAAATAAAAATAAAATTAAGATTTAAAACCATAGGAAAAATTTACATTCAGACTAATGTCCCCATCTTTGTTGTTATTATCAAAATGTTTCAGCTGTTGTGCCCTTTAGCCTTCCTTTATGAAAATTTATATAATAAAAAAGAAATGTAAAATTATATAAAAATAATTAAATGTTAAATAAAAAAATATACAATAGACTGTTTGTTTATTACACTTTCTTTTTAGGGAATGTTTTACAAAAACATTTATTAATAAAAGAAAGTTATTAACATGTATTCATTTAATAAAGAACTGCTATAATGAAACCACACTGTTAGTAAAAAGTGGCTCAAATTTGATGGGTAAAACTTTGTATATGTGAGGCTCAAGTTGAAGTCTCACATTTTATGAAAAAGATACATATATAAAATTTGTTTTTCAAATTTGTGTAAAAAAGAGGCTCAAGCTATATGGGTCTAAAAACCCACCTAAATAAAGTTTGCAAACAGGTGTGGTTTAAGAGAAAACACATGCTGTGATTTTCTAACCAATGGGGAAGTAAATTAAGAACCCAAAGTATCAAATTTCCGATTCAAATTGGAGCCAATATGTGGCTTTTTGAGAAGTTTGGTTTGACTGACAAAGCAAAATGGACTTGGCTATCACAGGTGAAAGTCATTTGCAGTTTCCAAGAAAAGAAAACAGAAGGGTATTGGTGAATGAGTGCAAGCAAGTTCATGAATCTGAACAAAAGAAAAACTAAAAGTCATCACTGCTGACTTTGACAAAATGGAAGTAACAGAAAAAAGAGAAAAGGAATTAACAAAGGAAAAAGAACGTGATGAAGCAGAAAGACATAAAAAGAAAGTAGAAGAAGTTTCTAGAAATTTAAAGAGATATAAGATTACCTTTCTATAGTTGTTTGTGAAAGTTTATCACAAAATTAGATGTATTAACCTTGATTTTGAACTTTGTTTCATCTCATTTTGTAAAAATGAATTGTTTTACAAACAAGCCAGAACCCCAACAGTGCCTGTGAATTTGCTATCCTTCTCAACTCCTTTCAAGAGCTGAATGAATTGAAATGTGTGAACATATTGTTGATAATAATTATAATTGTTTTTTAGAGCCCAACAAAATTATAATTAGAACTTGTTACCTTGTCTAAGTGTTTGGTGCACAAAGGAAAATGTTATGCACACTTGTTTTGTAAATTTTTGTATTCAGTGCTTTTATTATTTTTTATGACATTTAATACAAATTTCTTTCAAATTTCACAACTGAATGGAAAACTTTTGTCTTTTTTGTTGCACCATTCATAATACTCAATAAGAGATTTAATGTTCTCTTTTCTACTCCTCAAAAAATTGCTTGTCAATCTAAGTAAAATTTTAGGGAACTTTGGACAGAAGTATTTAATTTTTCTCATTCTGCTCTCCATGTCTAGGGGTGTCTTGTTCTTATTTAGTACTTCTCAGTAATTGCTCAACCAGTTTCCATTGACTTTAAAGTCTGTACTACTCAGCCCAAATTGATTGTTGATTTATTTGTTTTGTTTTTTTGTTTTTTTAGGTTTTTTTTTTATAGCTTATCAACACTTTGTGGGTTATTTAAAGCAGAAACATTTTAGATTGTAATAATATATATATATTTTTTTTTTTTTTTTTTTTTTAGAATAATGATTTTTTCCCACCTGATATATCATACTATTTAACCCACAGATGGGAGGAAGAGATTCATAACTTTTCCAAGGGTATTTGCACACAAGTGATTCTAACAAACCTGACTGGAATTTGAACTCAGCTCATTATCCATTATGCCATCCACTTAGCCCAAGGATTGAACTCACAATTACTATGCCACCAAATTGATGAACCAATGTTTTAATTCACTAGAATGTGATCATTAATTCTATGGCTTTGTTCTGAGTGTCCTTTTAAATGGTGTTTATATTGCTGTTCCTATCTCTGTTCTAGGAAAGTGAATATTTTTGACTGTCATACAGAAAAGTAAGATTTTACAGTGTCTGTGTCATGGTGAAAAAGCAAGACCAACGATTGAGAACTTTGTCAAAGTGAAACTTCATGTGAATTAAAAATAAAATCCATGAAGCCAGGAAAAGATGAAATTTGACCAAGCCATAATTTTGTGGTCTTTATAACAACATGAAAAAGTGATTTTTGTTTTTTGGTTGAATGTTGCCAAGAAAAAAAAAATCCATGAACAAATCCACAATAGCGAAACACAAGAGACCAATCATAGCATTAGCACTGGGTTGCTTAAGTGATGTTCCACTCTGTAGGAGTTACCCAAAAATGAATAAAGCTTCCATAGGGCAATGATGCCTTAGTCCTCTTCAAAGTACATACCTCTTTCTATCATATTTATCCTAGACCCCATCCCATCACCACTTTGTGAAACTGTTTGCAAAGTTCTCCATCAAGATCAGTATCAACTGTTTTTTTACATTATCATTAATTTCATTTATGTTCTGAAACCTCATCCCTTTAAAAAATGGTTTTAGCTTTGGAAAAAAGACAAAATTTGCAAGGAGTTACATCTTGGACTAAGTAAGACAATGTTTTGCAAAAAAAAAAAAAGAAAGTATCCTCTCCCCAACCTAAAAAGAGAAAAAAAAAAAAAACAAAGTTATTAGAATGACTGGATACATGTCCAAACAGATAGTGAAATCCCCAGGTCTAATTCTTTCATTGTTAATCATCGATTACCTTTGACTGCAGCCAGCATACCACTCAACATTTTCACAGGTTATGTCTGTCCAGAATGTGAATTACTTTCAACAGATTCCTAAGTTTGAAGCACCATTACCAAAATTTTATCTTGGCTTCACTGACTGAATCATCTCTGAAAGCCTTCTTTATCATTCAAGTAGCTGCCACAGACAATGTTCACATTTCAAAAAAAATCTTGATGCATATCTGCTTTGATAGGCTGCAAAGTGACAGCAAGGCCACTCAGTTGGTTCCCTGATATATTCAAAGTGGTTGGATAGTTTCTGAACAGACCATGTACAAATACAATAATATAGATTTTTATTTAACATTCATACAATTTCTCATTTTTGTAGGTTTATACAGTAAAGCAGTTTATAAAGTCCTCATTTTGAAAGACAATTTATTGAACAGGCTTTCACAGAAATTAGGTCTGTCAATATTTTTCAGCCCACCACCATCTGGTCAAAAAGTATGCAATCATTTAGAAAGATTTATGATGATAATACAGAAAATAAATATAAATACAAATGAAAATCTACCTATAAAACATTATTGGCATTCTTTTTCAAAATCATGCTGTCTTATAATGAATATATAAATTCATTTTCATATGAAGTCTTTCAGGTTTGATATTTTAAAGCAGAGAAGAATTTGGAAGCATTTTTACAATTACCTTTAAAATTTAAGACAGAATTGACTGGAGCACTGGATGCCACAGCACCATTTACCAGATGAGGGTATTTTAAACGAAACCAAGCAGAAAGTGATCCTTCAAATAAAAAAAAAAAACAATAAAAATTACATTTGCAAACAAAAAAGAAAATATTTTTATAATCCAACTTTAACAATTATTTCTTTTTGCAAGAGTTTTTTTTTGTTTTGTTTTTTTTTTAAACCAAGAATTGATTTTCTTTTTTTCATGGCTTTTTATGTTATTGATGAGACAAGACATTTTTGGGACTTATATTCTGATTAATTATCTGAACAACCCAGACAAGGAAACATGTCACAGATAACATTTTCAAATCAACTAAATTTACTTATATAAAACTCATGCACAACGGACACATAAGCATATACATTATATACACATAGGTAAAATCATACACAGTGTGTGGTGGACAAACTATCAGCTCTTCTTTTATAAGATAGATGACAGCAACTATATTATCTATGCATTCAAAGGTAGACAATGAAAATAATACTGCAAAAACATTAAAAGTCATTAAAAGCATCTGACAGTGTTGAAATATCAATTGTTTGCAAAATGATTGAGACAGAGGGAGGGCAGGAGGTGATATTGTTATGGATGTAGAGTGAGAGGACAAGTGGTAGATGTGCTCACAAAAGATGAATCATCAAGTGCAATTCTTAAAAGCACTTGAGAAATCATATCTCTCTTTCTCAGAGAGAGAGAGAGAGAGAGAGACAATGGAAGTAGGATAAGCCTGGAAGCCTCTTTATTAAAAGAGGAAGATGGTCAATATTAGTTATTTGTTTTAGAAACAAGAGTTGAATAAGAGACACAAGGAGTGAAGACCAAAAAAAGAAAAAGAGACATTTACCCCTACTATGCCAATAGTAAAATTGAGCTTGAATGTAATAAAGAACAAAACCATTGCAGTTTTTTCTATTGCTATTTTTTGGAGTGGGGGAAGAGTTAAAAAAATGCAGTGAAAATATAAGTAATACAATGTAAAATATTAAAAGAAAATTTTGTTTAACAATATATATAATAAATAAAAATGGACATCAAGGTCAACATCAAGTGATGACAGTGTTTCATGCAAGGCCTGAAGATTGCATTCAAGCATGAAACATACTGTCACTACTTGATGTTGACCTCAGTTTCCAGTTTTGTATTTTAAGAAATATGAATAAATGAAAACCTATTTACCTGGATAAGATCCACCAAAAGAAATCCATTTGTTCTTAGTGAAGCCATATTCATTTGTGATGGACTTACGAAAGTGAGCCAAATCAGCTAAAGCTTGCATGCTGCTTAAGTATTTTAAATTTTCTGTACTCATGTCTCTATAACAAAAAAAAAAGATGCAGAAAGTTTTAGAATTAATTTTTCTAATATTTATAAAATAAAAGAAAAAGAAATTTATTTAAAAAAAAAAAAAAGAAAAAATTATAATTTAAAAAAAAAATCCAAATTAAGTTGGCTACACAATCTAATGTCATTCATCTTCAGCCTCTGGATGTTTAGTATTACTGGAATCTTGTCATAGAACTTATATGATACTTTGTTGATTAAATAAACTATTAATAAGTAGATTTTTTAAAAATATACAACAAATAATATTAAAAAAAACACGCACACACAAATAACATTTTTTTTTCTAACATTAAAAAGATGTTCTAACATTTTTTTAGAGTTCATCAAGGGCTTTCTACTGTATCATTAAATTTGGTGATTTATTTTTCACAGTCATATATATATTTTATTTTCAATAAACTAATCAATTTTGATTTTTCAACATTTTCTTAAACACAAAGCATCAAAGTAAAACAGAAACTATTCTGCAGGATGATTCATAGCATGCGCTCTTAACTGCTGCCATGTGTGTGTGTCAATGAATGAATCTCACGAGGGGTACAAAAAAAGAGAATCTGCTGAGTCCAAATGCTTACTTTTCACTATTAAGAAAGGCATGAATCCACTTCTCCCTATACCCTATCCCATTGCCAGACAAGTTACTAGCATGCCACAATGGTAGAAAAGAAGGGTGTGATAGGAATGCTTGTTGTGTTTAGGTAGAAAACATAACAAGCATTACTTTTTGAAATACAATTATTGCATACTCAAATGTGAGTCCAAGTAATAAATGAGTAAGACACTAGAAAACAAATGACAGCACATGTATTGACAAAAGAATTACAATAAGAAAACATTTAAACTAGAGAATGTGTTTTTGTGTGCATAAAACTTGTGTAGACCTACATGCTAGACACCTGTGTGAAAGAGTACAAAAATTCAAGATAGGAAAGTATAACCATGAAAATGTCCCGGGGGGGGGGGTATCCCCCCCATGTGTGACTACATCTTATAGTTGTAAAAGAGAGAAATGCATGCAAGCCTAGTGGCCACGTTCCAACTAAGACCATTAAGACCCACTGTTCTATGTTAGATTCTATTAAAATGTTTGAGTAGTAATTTGTGATTACTTTTTCTTGTATTGTTGTTACTTTTGATTACAGCATTCAGATAGTTGTATAAAATTTTAAAAAGTATTAATAAATCATTTTAAGATCATCCTCACCCCCTGGATTGGTTTGGCTGGGGGAGGACAGTTAATGACCAAAACAACTCAGAGGAGATCAAGCATGGCTGACAACACATTCCAAACTGCTGCTTCTGGAGGCTTGTTATTTGCCATTTAAAGTATGAAGTTAAGTATGACAACAGTCATAAAACTCTGAACTGGACGTGACAGCTGTAACTGAAAATATTAAAAACAAAATTGGCAATAATGTATTTATATGCAATAAATGCATTCTCTAATTTTGTCTATAAATCATTTCTGCTTCTTAAACTGCTTTAGTTGGTAGGGTGTCTCATTACTAAAATAGTTTTAGGTTTTTGTTGCTATCTGAGTGTTGGGGTTCCAAACAACAACACCTTTTTTAAATGTAACATATAAAAAGTTATTTTATGGATGAAAAACAGAAGCAGAATGTCAATTGAAATGACACTTATTCTTTTCAGAAACATTCAATAACAATAAAATATTCAATTTTCCTTGCAGTGAAGTTTGTTTTATCAAGTAATTAAGTGTCCGTAGTGTGTTGTGAGAAGTGTGTACAGATGAATTCATGACAGTCAGCCTAATGATTTTATGAAGTGCATAGACAAAAGCTTAGCAGCTGCTGCCTATTCCCTCCCAGTGTATGTATATGATTGTGTGTGCAAGCACATATAGATCAAACAGGCCTCCAAAATGATTTTGAGCCCAAGAAACAGCATGCTTCTATTTTTATATCTGTAAAGGGATTCAGAATCTAATTTCACATAGGTGTCAACATTTTAATTTTACAATGTTTACATTGGTTAGAAAATAATTTCATACTGGCTTATGAAAATCTTTTTCTCAAATTTGCAGGAGTGGTGAAAGGAGTTATTATTGCTATTTTCTAGATGGTCCAAAAATAACACTTACTAGGTCTACAACTACATATTTTGGCAGTATTTGTCCTTGTAATCAAACAAACCTTCTGATGGAATTTTATTGGTTGAAAAAATATAAATAGGATTTCATTCCTACAGCTGTGTTTTCAAATGAGCATTCGAAGGAAAATATATTAAAAAGTGATTTCCATTAGACAGTATAAATTGAAAATAGAGAATGAAAGACTGGAGTTTGCACCTCTTCTACTTGGGAGCACTTTACTAATTAGATTATGAAAGCCAAATAAGACATTCTTCATCATCAAATTTTTACTACATGCCCCATTTGTTTCTTATCTTGTAATAGGAGACACAAGTCTTAAGTTGTGTGAATATCTTAGATGATGACGCCATTAATTTTGATTTGGTTTATCGTGTGTGTTGGAATAAAAAACAGCAAAAATAAAATTAGCCAAAAATTAATAGTAATGATGTTTCATCTAAAAAATTCAAACAAGATAAATAACACTTAACGTTTGAATGAATTCATATTTTTAAAAGAGTTTAACAGAATAACATATCAAGTCTTCATTTCAGAATACAAATACATAATCATTAAAAAAAATCAGTACTTTTCATTTCAAGAGAAATTCTGACAACTGATCTAATCCTTTGTTATTTATTCTCACAATATTTCTGCCAATCTACAGCCATCTTCAGGTATGCTATCTGCATTAAAAGTGAGGGTCTTTTTTTTCGGATGGAGGGAGCAAGGAGTGCAAGAAAGAAAACAATAGCAAATAGAAAAAAAAAAGCTTTTTTCTTTCAATTCAATTTTAGGCTGGAAAATGGATGGGCAAAAACAGTGTAGGAACAATATAAGCCAAATAAAGTATGAGTTCAAATGTCTAAATAAATCTTGGAATGATGAAGATTCTTCTCAAAATTATAGACAATGTCAACTTTTCCTGTTCTTTGAACAATTATGGAACTATTTCCACACTTTAAGTGTGGTCTTTTCTTATTCAACCATTTTTTTCTGTTGTAGTTAGAGAAAGTGTGAGGATAAAGAAAAAGACAGCAAAGTCAATCCTTTAACCACAGGTAGAAAAATGGAAATTGTAATATTGAAAACAGAATCAATTTTTAGATATTATTTTTTAAATAAATTCTAGATTGTCTGAATTTTTTGATATTCAATGACACTACAATAAAATCTTAATAATTTCTTCCATTAAAACAATCAAGATTTACATTGAAAAGATGTTTTACTTTGTTACTGTAGCCTATGTAGTGAAGACAACGACCAGCTTCTTCATAATGTGGATCAATATGTAGAGCTCTTTTGTAATAAAAAAAGTAAAAAATTATGAAAAACATTTATGACTGCATACTCATCTCTGATTCTACAGAGTGAGTCAAAAGTAGCACTCAGATTCTGTGGAGTCATGTTGTCAATATTTGTCTTACAGATTATTCATTTTCTTAATTCTTATTGTTTTGTAAATAGCTGGATGAAAGATTTCACAGAAAATGGCTGGAACACTCTCCAGACATAACTCCAAATTTCTTTTGGAGCTCATGAAAGACCTTATTTATTATGAATAGCATTGTACCATTCAGAAACTAAAGGTTCAGATCATTGCAAAGTTTGAGGAAATGAATATCAACACTGCAAGTAAAACAGCTTGGTACAGTTTCTTAAGAATTCCCAACTGCCTGAGTAAATGGTTAGATATACATTTCATTCATTCATTTCTACCTTTTGGTACACTGTAATACCAATGATAAACAGTCAACTGACAATTTCTGTCCAAATATAAACAAATAATCAACTGATAGTTGTAAAAACAAAAATCAGATGCTACTTTTGACACAGCCTGTATATGAAAAGTAAAATGCCAACATCCTGAAGGACAAATCTGATTTTGATCTGGGTATAATATGTATATGCCAGAGGATAGTGGATAATTTGATAAATTTTCAAAAATCTTTCACTCATGACAGTGCACCATGACACAGACAGCAATGAATGCAGCCAGAAGTATCATTGTGGTGAAAGAGTTCAGTCCAACCAGGTGTCATGTCAGAGAGATGTATAAGTATTTTTTTGTTAAATTACAGTGATTTGAGTGAAGTCAAATTGTAGCCTTCTTGAGGGTAGCATTTCAAAGAATTGCTGCACAAGTTGGATATGATAGCATGGTGGAGCATTGATGTTGACCACATTGGTCAAATAATTAAATTCAAATTATAGGTTTATAAGTACCAAGAATTCATACACTGATGTCCTCAAGGATACATGGCCCAGTGAATAAAAGCATTGGCTGAATCCTAAAGAGTTGTGAGTTCAAAAACATGGATAGTTGAGCTAACTGATACCGAGACATCCAGAAGAGGCATGGCACATGGAACTAGAACAATATAGCAACAAAGATGAGGACAACAGTTAAAACAATGTAAATAATTACAATACCTCATCTCAATGCTTTTAGAATAAATATAATGGAATTCTAATGAAAAAATTTGTATTATGCTGGCATCATCACAGTTATTCTAAACTTATACCTGATCATCCCTGGTCTGAAGGGACAACATTAATTTCAATTCCAGAGTATCATGTACATTCATTCTAATGCCTTTCTTGTAACCCAAGGTTAAAATGTTGTTCCAGCAGGATAATGCTCACTTATATGATTCCCAAGCTACTCAACACACTATGGAAGATGTTCAGTAACTTCCCTAGCTTGTATGTTTGTGTGACCTATCTTCTATTGAATAAGACATGAGGAGACATCATCTGATTCATTCAATTAGTCCTTCTATAACATTTGCTGTACTGCAGCAACAGGTGCAAGAAGCAAATTAATGTGCTACAGAATAGTATTCAGCTACTATATGCATGTAAAAGTACAAGCTCATGTTAATCCCCAAAGAGGATAGACAGTGCATGGACTTATAAGTAATATTCATAAACCCTTATTTTGCATATATTGAACGAAACTGTGCATAGCATTTGAAAGAGGTGGAAATCCATTGGTGCCAAATCGGGAAAGTATGGCATGTATGGCAGCACTTCCCAGCCAAGCATTTGAATGGCTTCCTTGGTCATACTTGTGATATGAGTGTGGACGTTGTCATGCAGCAAAAGAACTCCATGCTGCCGATTAGGTCTTTTCTCTTGAATAGCCATGTTGAATCATTCCATCTGTTGAACAAAGTTCCACGTTTGGTTCTATTCAAGCAATTCATAATGAATAATCTCTTTCCAGTCCCACCATACACACATCATTTTATGGAGATGTAGATCTTGTTTCATGCATAGTATCACTTGTTTACTGGGGGCTAAGCCATTCCTTGTGCTGCTTCATATTGATGTACAGGCACCATTTTTCGCCACCAGTAATGATTCTATAAAGAAATGGTTGCTTGTGTCCATGAGTTGAGCAGTGATGAACAAGCAAACCAGCAGAGACTGTGGCTCAATGATTTTTGCTGTTGTCACTTAAAGCATGTGGACACTTCTGAACCTTTCCCATCGAGTGAAGATGCTTCTCTATAACAGTGTGGGAGCATTTGAAGAAGAAGTTGTAAACAACAAGGGAGAATACATTATTGATTAATTAGTTGTTACTTTTTATTAAACTTTTGAAAAAATTTAAATTTAAAAAACAGCAGGAAATTGCCAACACAATAATTAATTTTGCTCAGGAACTAATTTTGTCTAAATGCAGATAAATATTTGTATAGATTATTAAAATAACTAAGGGAAGTAATCACTCATAAATTTATTAACTTGATTTACCTCCCTTCCTCATACAGGACAGGAAATATATAAATAAATACACATTGATGATTATTATATAGTTTGCTATCATGTCATAATATCTTGATTTTATTTTTAATCTGATATGCATTAAAATTAATCTCATGAAACATTATCAAATAAGCAATTTAATCTGAAAATTTATATCTGTATACAATGTTGGCCAAAAATTTAAGACTGCCTGGCAAAAATTAACATTTCTCTATTATAGGTTTATATTTCCAGAATCAACCGTGAATGATCAAAAGTATTTGGAACTATTGTAGAATAATCTAGAGATGCACATGCACATAGATGGTTGTGGCATACTAATGCAAAGTTGCACACCATGCATCAAAGTGCAAGAATATCTTAAGAGGGTCAAGGTCACTACATTGGACTGGCTTAACAACAGCCCTGATCTCAAACCTACAGAAAACTTATGGATTGCATAACGAATAAAGCTGCAGAAAAGCAACCAGCCAATACCAAAACTCCAGGTCCTAATGGCCTTGACAGATGCTATCAAGGACTTCTAGGATTTCAGCAGAATATTGTCATAGCCAGCATACCTTGAATTGAAGTAGTGGCCATACAAAATACTAGTTTCTATTGAAATTAAGAGAAAATAAACTGCTTTTAATAAATTCACTGTAGTAATATAAATAATGCCTTTTATTTTTATGCAATTGAGATTTTTGTTAAAAATTGTTGGGTGGTCTTCAATTTTTGGCCATGCCTGTAGTATTAATAGGGTAATATTATCAACAACAATGTAGATAAAACAACTTACTCTGTAGGATGACTTTTTCCATAATATCGATGTTCAACTTGAATACAAAATGCATTGTATTTCTTGGCATTTTCTATCCAGTCTCCATGTGTCATCCAAACTGGATCTGCTTCCCCTTCACCACCAATCATCAGAAATATTGGGCCGCCAGATTTGAAATAGGATTTATTAATAAAATATCGCTGTTGGAAAATAAATTTAAAACGTTAATAAAAATTCTGATTTATTTTCAAGAAAATAATGTTTCATTAAGCATTTCACCCCAAGCAAGGTAGGAGTGCCACTAGCATACAAGGGGTTACAGAGAGTGAAAGTAAAGAGAAATGTTTGAGGAAAGAATAAAGAGAAGGACTGGCATCAAGATCAAGGCATCAGAAGATGTCGATTGACATTACATTTGAAGATTATAGCTATCAGGGAAGCAAGCAAGAAGAAGGGAGTTCAACTGTTGGAGTAGAAGAGGTGGTTACATTCAACTGTTTTGACAGTGAAAGGGTGGGATGGAGATGCCATCCTAGTAGCACACTTAAATTCATGCAGTTGGGGTACACCAGTGAAAGTAGGTCATCAGATCAGTTGCCATGAAAATATTTGTAAAAAAAACAGAAGGACGCCACATCATGTATGTGTGAAAGTGACTGTAGTTGGGATGTCAGCTCAGGACATATCACATTGCATATCCGTCCTTGGGTTTTGTCGAGGACTTTGAGATGAACAACAGGAGGCACCAGACCATATATTGCAGCAGTATTCAATGCAAGGATGTATGGTAGATTTGTAGATTTGAATGATGGAATCAGACTAGAAAAACCTTCTGACACAACACAGAGAACCAACTTTCCTTGCAGTAGATGAAGCTATTGATTCAATGTAGTTGTTCCACCTCAGGTCAGTGGAAAACCTTAGACCAAGTAGATGCAGAGAATAATCCCACCCATTCAATGTGCAGGTTAAAAAAAAAATTAGCTTGAGGTTTTTTGTAATACTAAATAAGCATTTTCCAGCAAATAATGTATTCTATAGAATTTTCAACAAGAATACTGTAAAAATTAGATAATGCACAATGCCCAAAATAAAGCGTATTATTAAGGAGCATAAACAAAAGTTGTTGAAGTTACTAATAAAACAACCACTTGCAATTGTAGAAAACTGGGAGATTGCTCCCTAAATGGACAATGTTTGACTAGCAATATCATATACAAGGCTAAAGTTGAATGACTCTCCAACATGAACTATACTGGCTCAACAGAAAAAGAAAAAGATATATATATAACAATTTAACAGCCTTTAAATTAAGTAAATATTGCAGCAGCATCGTCCTATCTAGGTACATCTGGAAAATTAAAGAGGAACAGTGTAACATAATAAGAAAAAGTTATACAGCGGGAGAAAGATTCTGTAAATTGTGTTAAGAAAAGTTAACAATTTTGATGTTCCTTAACACCAAATGTTGTAAGGATGCATACACGTGGAAAAAATATTTGCTGGCAAATATGGAACCGGAATGAAATTTCCATCCAATAAAACAAAAATCATGTGCAGTCCATTTTAATTAAACACCTAAGTTATGAGAGCTATTTTATAATTGTAAAATTATAACCTGAAGATCCCTGAACAAATGTTTGAAATAAGCTCTACATAGCACTTTTTTTACTGCATATTCTGTGAAAAGTTGCATTTTGTCAACTACCAGTATGTGTGTGTGTGTGTGTGTGGTATATATATATATATATATATATATATATATATATGATGATTGAAAAATAACTCCCCATTTTAAAATGCTTATAATTTATTTATTAAGTATAATTTTTAGACAAAATGGATATGAAAGGAAAGCATTTAGCATGAGGTTTTATTTTAATTCAATATTATTCAATTATTAATTCAATATGGGCACCAGATTTCACTACCAGCTTCTTGAGCCACCCAGGAATCATGTCAACTGATTTCACGGGGAATTCTTTTGATATGGGAGACATATCTTCTTATATTTGCCCTTCAAGTTCTTCTAAAATCTTAGTTTGGTATAATAGACTTGCCCCTTTAACCAACCCTAAAGAAAAAAGTCCCAGGGTGTTATGTCAGGACCCCTAGCTGGCTACTCATACGTAAAATAGAGAGTTACTTTTCAATCATTGTATATTTTATATGTGTGATACTTAGTGGAAAGTGCTCAATATCTGTGATAGAGCTAACATATACAGTTGTATAGATAGTAGTTTGCAACCCGGGTTTCATGCTTTTGTGATCATCAGACAAACTGGTTTATTTTTTCAAAAGTGGATCTATTTATGCTTATTTGTGCGTGGTGGAGGGGGTATTTTCTTCTGTGTTTGTTTGGGATGACACTTTCACATACATACAGGTGTATGCATTTTAGTTCATACAAACACATCCATATAAGTAATCTGAGGTTAGGCGCAGATACACATCCATACCTTCAAGCATACATATATATATGCAATTGTCATTCTATTTCAGTGTCAAGATTGTAGTGTTACATATGTAACAATGTTCTCTTAACAATGAACAGGTTGGGGTGCTCTTGATGTTTTTCAGATTGGCTGTCAGTGCCATCAGGCAAGCTCACATTTGCTTACACATATATGTAGACACATACCCACACTCATTGATCTGGGTCCACTACCACTAAATTGGTTAAATTGGGTTCTGTCTGTGGACATCATGATGATGATGTTTGTATTTTTAGCAACAATAACTGCTGGTGTTTTATTGATGATTGTGATTATGTTAATGTTAATAATAACTGATATTAATAATTGATGTGTTATTGGTCATGATAAACGGTAAAGTTAGCCTTAATGATGATGGAAACAATAATCATAATAATGACAATGGTAATTATGATAACAGTTGTGGTAACCATAATAATGATGATGATAATAATAGTAGTAGTAATAACTAGCAGTAGAGCCCGGCGTTGCCCGGGGATGTAACAGTAAGAGATAGATCAAGTATCGACCATCATAAAGACTGAAAAATAAAATTGACAAAGATTATTGTTTAAGGTTGACGGACACGCATGTCTTAATTAATTTTTTTTTTTTTTTTTACGAATTGGTCAAACCCAAACTCAAACAAAAACATTGTTTTCAATCGTTATGTGTCTACCGATTGAATAGAATTTTATTATAAACAATTGTCTTGTAAATGGAATTTTTAAAGCATTCTGAATATAAAAATAAAGAAAAATGTGTGCAAGACAATAAGAAACACTACCTGCTAAAAAAAAAAGTGAGTTTTTGTTGAAATTGGTTGAAAAATGTAGGAAATCCGATCCCATATATAAACGAACACACACACAAACAACCTGGGTTTTATAATAAGTATAACTCGATATGAGTTGTCCCCCTTTCATTCTCGCGATGTCTCTTAATCGTGTTTTCAAATTGATTTCATGCAAAAACAATTGTGTTTTTCCAATTTTTGGCGCTGTCAGAACCACCGCAAAGTAATTTTATGTAGTCCTGTGAAGTTTTGTTGAAATCTGTTGAAAAATGTAGGAAATCCGATCCAATATATACCTTGAATACCAGCAAAGAGTTTACTTCACAGAGGCAATGCTCAGCAAGCCGCTCAGGCACAGAAGAATCATGACACTACTCTCACTGCATGGTTAAAACTGAATAAGCATGAGGATGATGTAAGGAACCACTTGTACCCTGACACTCTGCTGCATTATGTGTTTAATAAGTGCACAAGAACATGGACACCAAGGCAAAGGAATACATCAGTAGAATATATACAGTGAGCCCTAGAAACACAGAAAAAATTCACTTGCAAGTGTTGCTGCATGTTTTAAGAGCCATGAGTTTCCAGAATTTCTTCTTCTACAGTACATAGGAGGAGAAATCTTGCCAACATTTAAGGTAGCATGCCTGAAATATGGTCTTCTCTCAAATGAGGACACACTGGAACATGCATTGCCAGAAGCTGCTGCCTGTCAGGTGCCCTTACAGTTGTGTGTTAGGTTAGCTGCCCTGTGCACATATATGAATCCTGTGGACAACTCACAAGGAATCCAAGATTGAAGATTTCTTACACCAAGGTTTTAATGCAAACCATGCAGAAAACATGGCACTGCACTCAACTGATTCAATTCTGATAGAAAATCGCATTGTTTAGCAATTGGGCTACTTGAACCTATTAAAATACACCCTATGTTGGGAGTGGGGAATACCACAGACTGATTAGCAATCTTTGCACACATGGTGGACACTCCCAAGTTTTTCTGTGTTATTTTCCCAGCCTATGAGTATTGTATGTTAAAAAGGATAGATTTAACAGTTAAACTTTATGTATTTGTAAATATACCTGTACAAATATAAGCAATTTTAATATTTTCTGCCTAAGTATTTCATTCTATTACATATGTCAAGTTTTAAATTGCTCCTTCTTCAATGTGTTATTTTTATACATACATATATGTAGAAGTTTGTTTACTTAAAATTCTATTAGTTGTTCTGTAGAAATTTCACGGTTTCTGCTAATATATATATATATATATAGAGAGAGAGAGAGAGAGAGAGAGATTGAGAGACTGATAAATAAAATCTGCTGCTTTAAAAACATTCTCCTAGTAATACACTGGTTGACATTTTTTTATTACGAAATTTTATAACTATTATCACAAATTATACAACAATTTTTTACCTATTTTTTTAAAATATGGCTACTTTAACCGCCATTGTGGCTCGAACTGGCCATCGTTACTTCAACTCTAATCTGTGTTATTGTTTTAAATGTAATACAAAATCTGACTCAGAATTTTTAGTTTAAGGCATAAAATGGCTTCCCCCTCCTCTCCAAAAATTGACAGAAAATAAGGATTTTCTTTTCTAGGGGAATGATTTTGAAAAATGATTGAAATATCTGGTAAGACATGGGCAAATACTATATAACTTGACAGATGAACGAATTGTGTATGAATTTTTTTTTTTTTTCTTTTTTAGGGAGGGTGGGTGATCTTCTGCTTTAATGCTATTTTTGTGATCTATGTGATTTTCTCAAATACTTTAGCTGATATTTTAAATTAGTCAGTTCATTTTTCAGATGTGACATTTGTGCTTTCTCTGAAAAATCATTATATAGAAACGATTTAGTGATACAGTAATTTAAGTCTTGAAATATCACAGACCACAAAGTCAATGCTTCATTG